ACAACTCAGGTAGTAATGCCAGATAGTTAGTATAAATTTTCCTTGTGATTGCACCTGCTTGTAACCGAGTCTGCATCCCATGAGATCGTATCGGAACATTATCTGATGCACTAGATGAAGAGGAAGCATCGAAAGGTAGAACTACCTGTAACTGTGCAGGATCAAAGACAGGAAGCAAGGGAGGTGTATCATTGTGAGATGAAAGAGTAAGGCCTGTTGGTGATGCCGATTCATTGTCCTGAGAATCGGAGACAACTGCAATATCATTGTGTGAGATAGATGGAGACTGATGTTGACTTACATTGACCTCAGCTGAACTAGAAGCTTGTGCAAGCACCTGAGACTCATGAATTGGACTATTGACATACTGTTTGGGCCCAAAATAACAGTTTGGGCCGAGTGTAGGGTCATTCTCGGCCCTGGAGGCCTTGCGGCAAGAATATCACGGATCGTTCAGTATGTGGGCCTCCAAACCCAGGTCGGCTAGGTCATAACGCAAGAGGTCGAATCCTAGTGCAATAAGGACTCTCGACGAGGTCAATAACCTAGAAAGCGAATCTGGCTCAGTTAAGGACTAGATTCGTAGTCCTAGCGGAGATAGGACTGATCGAGGGGATGTTAATCCGGAGAAGGAGACCTAGTCCGAATAGGATTGAAACTCGGGCTCGATGTGCTGCTACTATAAATACAAGCCATTCAGCAACTGTGAGAGCCCCTGCAAATCAATACAAAATTACCCTGCGCAAACTCTCACAACTTGTGATTTTTCTTTTCCCTTTTTCGCTGACACATCTTCCGTTAGCATTAACAGCACTGTGGAAGCAACCGGTGATATCTTAAGTCGGCATAGATAGCTCTGTCACCGTAGAGTCAGTCGGTCTCGCAGTATCTTCCGTTGGCATCAACAGCACTGCGGCGAGAACGATTGATTACCTATCCAAGTCTCGGTCGAGAAGGGTTTCTAAATCCTTATTGGTCGAGGTCATCTCATCAGCCTTCTCGGCGAAGTGAGGTGTTACAGTTATTACATTCGGCACATTGAAAGCCGAATTTGATATTGAACTTCGTAAGAATAGTAACCTTGTCTTCAGGTTCGAGAGCCCAAGAGGCCGAGACGTGTTCCTTTCTCGGCCGCAATCGCAAGACGCAGAAGTCAGTAGCGCGACCCAACGCAACATCAACAAATTTACTCCTCGGCCGAGCTCGGCCGACGAGTTGGCACGCCCTGCATTCACCGAAGGACGTAGTTAGCTCATTAATTACTCGGCCTGCGCGCCACGTAGGCTTTGTAGTTTCTAGGGTCAACACATACTCTCTGTGATATAAAGAAACCGGTAATCACTGGTGTACATCTCTGTGAATCATGACTTTGTACCCCAATTGTTGTAACTGCCTTAGGTAATTTACCAGGAAAACATGATTCATCAAATACAACACGTCAAGATATAATACACTTCCGAGTTTGCATATTAAAACAGATAACTCCTTTATACCCCATAGAATAGCCCAAAAATATACACATAGCAGATCTGGCTTGCAATTTATTTGCTGCATATGGTCTTAACCAAGGAAACACAGCTGAGCCGAAAATCTTGAATGAGTGTACATCAGGTATTTTCTTATATAACATTTGATACGGAGAGGACAATGAAAGAATCTTACATGGCATTCTGTTAATCAAGAATACAGAGTGTGTACATGCAAAATACCAAAACTCAGAAGTTAAACCAGCAACATTAAGAAGTGTGATTGCAGTTTCAACTATATGGCGATGTTTCCTTTCTGCCACTCCATTCTGTTGTGGAGTGTATGGACAAGAAATGAATGGAATTATACCCTTGCTAGCTAGAAAATCAGTAAAAGTTTTACTAACATACTCTCATCCACTATCTGTTTGCAAACCCTTGATGTGCACCCCAAACTGAGTAAGTACAAAATTATAAAATCTCACAAAGATTGTAAACACTTCTGATTTATTACGCATCGGAAAAATCCACACATATCTGGTATATTCATCAATTAGAGTTACATAGTACCTATAACCTTCTAAGGACTTCACAGGAGAATGACCCCAAATATCCGAGTGTATTTTTTCAAATGGAGAGGTACAAGTAACTGATCTAATTGGAAATGGAGTTCTAGACATTTTTCCTTGAATACAAGAAACACAAACACTAGACTTACTATCTCTATCAGCCACAATATTCGACTTCTGTAACATACAATTCATGATTTCAGAAGTGGGATGCCCTAATCTCTGATGCCAAGTGTCACATTTGATAGCTTTACCCACATAAGCAACTGGACTACTTGTAATAGAATGTACTCCTCTTTGCCTTTGCACAACCAGAATCTGGAACAATTCTTCAAGCTTACTTTTTCCTTGATACACTATTTCCCTTGTCTTCTTGTCCTGCACAAAGAATTCAGATTCATCACATATAAACCAGCTCTTATTGTCAGCACAGAGTTGTTTCACAGATAAAAGACTTCTCGCAATATGTGGAACATGTAATACTTTGTTGAGAATAAGAGAGTGATTGTTAGTTTGTAAAGTAGTTGACCCAATAATTTGGATTGATAGATCAGTACCATTTCCAATGGTTATTTTGTCAGAACCCTCAAAAGGTGTGACATGATTCAAGGAATTGACATCAGCTGTCATATGATGAGATGCACCGGAATCAACAATCCAGGCATCTTGAGGAATGAATTGCGTGGTCTGTTGAGTATGCAGTGCAGACAATGATGAGGGTGGAAGCTGCCCTTGATATGAATAATTGCTTCTTTGATAATAATCAAGTGCTGAATGTCCTCTCTTGCCACAGATTTGGCATTCAACAACAAAGTTTGAATTAGAAGCATTGATGTTCCTCTGATAACAGTTGGCTGCAGTATGCCCCTTTTGTTACAAATTTGACATTCTATCACAGCATTTGTCCTTGTAGAAGTACTCCCAGACCAAGAATTATTACCATTTTGTCGTGAGTTGCTTAAACCATATCCTCATCCCCTGAAAGTGTTATTATTCCTGTAATTATTGCCTCTGTATTGACTCCCATGTGATGCTCGAGGTCCAAATTGTGCTCCCACATTAAGCTGTGCACCATGATTATTTTGATCACTAGGATGACCAATAAAACCATATCCATACGACTCACCAGGATACATAAGAGATTGTGATGGTGGAAGATATCCTGCTGGATACTGTGAAGGAACAGGATAACCAGGATACTGAAATGGTGGTAAAGGCAAAGACTGATGTACTGAATTTTGTTGACCCTGAGAAGTGGAACCATATGGCACTGAAGTAATTGTTCCCGCAGTACTGGCAGGAATATGATTATGTGCCTGAGAATTTGAAGATGAAGCTGAACTTGAACTAGTGCTTAAACTCGAACCTTGAACATATAACGCAGACAAGTTCTGAGACAAAACATTAATCTCTCCTTCAATCTCCCTTTCTGCCCCCAATAGTTGTGCTCTAAATTCCTTTAAAGTAATAGATGACTCTCTGGCCAAAATGACTGTACGAATAATCCCATATTCCTTTGGCAAACCAGCAAAACCAGCAATTATTATGTCATTGTCAGATACAGATTCACCTGCAGCAGTGAGTTGATCCCTAATACCTTTCAGCTTCAAGAGATACTTATCAATTGTATCAGATCCTTTTTGAATGGCATGTAACTCGGTTTTGAGATGGTTGACTCTAGACTTAGAAACCGATGCATATCTATCAACCAAATTGACCCATGCCTCATGAGCAGTCCGACAACCAAGAACATATTCCATTGCATCATCAGTTAAAGTGGCAAGAAGTAAACTAAGCAACGCCATATCTGTAGACTCCCAATCCATAAACGCCTCAGTAATCTCCTTTGTAACCCCAGCTTCTGCATTAACCACATACTTTGATGGACACACAGTTGTGCCATCGAAATGACCAAACAATTTATACCCCCTCAAAACAGACTGAAATTGAAACGCCCATTTGGCAAAATTATCATCTCTTAGTTTAATGGTAAGCATACCCAGTATTCCATCGACTTTAAAAGGTGAACTACCCATGATTATCTTCAAGCAATAACAACTAATTACCAATTGAGATTATGCACAGAGACTGACACTCTGAGAAGAAAAACTGACACTTTCTTGAACCCACAATTTTCAACTTCTTGACTAAGAAAGATTGACACTTTCTTAAACACACAACTTCTGGATTTAGAAGGAATGACACCTTCTTGAATGCATGAAAGAATGACACTTCCAGCAAAACAATGCTTTCTAATTATCGCAGCAAATCAACATATACAAATCAACAAAAGAATCCAACTCTATCAAATCATTACTCTGCTCAAATTGAAGAAATGAAGGAATCAGAAACCACCTGAACCGAAAAGAAAATCAGAACCACCAATCTTGCTTCAATCGCACACCACCTTCATCAACCGCACACTAATGAAGCGACGAACAGCCACCAAACCGAACCACCAATGAAGCGACGAACAGCGGAGCAAACCAGGATCAAAATCAGTGACTAACCCACACCGGCGATGATACCATATTAACAAAGAGAAAGGAAAGAATAGCTTGTGAAAAACTAGAGAGAGAAAGAAACCAAAGAGAATACTAAAATGTTCAATTTCTTTAGAGAGATGAAAAGATGATTACAAACGCCTTACACATTTCGTTTATGTAGAGAAACTAACTATTACAAAAGTACAATACTACCCTTCTCATATTCTTTATCTTTCTAACAACCCAATCCTACTTAACAAACTTACAACTGTATAACCAACTATTATGATTATTAAGGGCAACACTCTTCTTCACCATTATGGTAGATGATCGCTTACCCTAATTTTAAAATATATTTTTGTCAAATAGCTTTGCTTATATTTTTCTTTTTGGTTTTTTGTCAGAAGATTACTTTGATTATATAATTATACAGTCACTTTCTTTGAATTCAACCACTATATAATGATTAATATATAAGTTCTTATCTCCTTGTTCCTCATATTTGCCGTATATTCAGTCAGATCTCGAGAAGGGATCTGTGTATTCATGGCAAATCCCAAGCTGAGAGCACTTTGGAACCACCCAGCTGGCCCTAAAACTAGTTTGTTTACTTACTCTACAAGTTTTTACTATTAATTTTCTGTTGGTTATTTAGTTATATTGTTCTTAATTTCTCAATGATTATCGTTGATGGATTGTTGATCTTAATCGATCATTTCGTGTTAATCCGCTAGGTGGTGCTTGATTAGTATGAAAGTTATTGAGATTAAAGAACATGTGGTTGAGATTATTGATTTCTTAAGTGAAAACTAAAACTCTTAACGAATTTTAGTGCATAACTGACTTTAGAACAGCTTTAACTAATGATTTTGTGAATTGTGTAGTGAAACTCAGATTTGAGAGTATTTTAAAAGCCTTTAAAATCCTAGTGTAGTCAATTAAAAGATTTTAAAGGATTTTAGAATCCATTCAAATCTAGGTATAGTCAATTAAAAGATTTTAAAGGATTTTAAAATTAATCCAAATCTAAGTGTATTAAAAAAATTAAGATTTTGGAGGATTTCAATAAGTTGTGGATTTTGTGGGATTTGAGAGTAAGAAGTATATATACCAAGACTAAAAAGAATTCAATCTCACCCCCTATGATTTCAAATCATTTTCCATCTGGGCAGTTCTCCAATCTCTACCAACCCCAGCCACATGTAACCACCATATACTTTGGTGGAATCTCTTATTATGACCCTTATACCTTAATTAGGCATGTATGATCATCGAAGGACATGATCGATCTAGGATTTTGGTTAATACTACTCTCTCACCATTAATATATGTAGTACTACAAGCACTACTGAAGTACCATAGCATACGTCTATGGCAAAAGGGCAGTCGGTGGTGATGGTTGTTGGTGGTGTAGTGCTCAAAAGCTCACCAATTATGTTGATCTATCAATTGATAAAGAGATGGAGCCGTGATTGTGTGAAAGGGGACCCGAAAAGGGAGGGGATAAAGTAGCTATCGAGTATAGTAGGTCAAGGGGAAAGATTTTTCCTTTTTCTTTTTGATACAAAAATTATATGAAAATCCACCAAAATCTACAAACTAAATCCATTCAAATTCTTTAAAATCCATATGAATTTTGTAGGAGTATTAAATCCTCCTAAATCCTTTAAAATCTATCACTTCTAAAATCCTTTAAAATCTTAGTTTGACTACAGCCTTAAACTCAATGATTTGATGGCGTGGGCTTGTTCACGCGGCATTTTGCCCGCTATAGTTTTGCTCTTTTGAACTTGTTGATTGGTCATCTTTATGAACTTGGTATATTTCCTTTGTTTCTTGGTACTCAACTTTAATGTAAAGTTAAAGTTTATCTGATGATGAATATAATTTTTTTTTATGAAAAAATAAAATTCAATTAACACTACATGATTATACCATTTACCCCGGTTAGTCTTAGAATATATGGAGTTTTAATAAAGAAATTGTAATATAAAAAATTGTCACAAAAAGAAAAAGAAAAAAAAGAAATTGTAGATAGAACTCAGCCTCTCATATATTAAAAGGTTTTCTGTGTGTTTAATTTTGCAGTCCATTTCTGGGCCCCAACATTTAAATGGGGTCTAACCATTGCAAATATTCTCGACTCAGCAAAACCACCAGAGAAACTATCCTATCCTCAGCAATCAGGTTGGCCATGACTCCCTAATTTGTTTGATGGACTCAGGTTTTTCGACGCTTCTACTAAACAACCAGATATATATTTCTTATTTTCTATATATCTCATTACGTGATCTAACGGCTATCACATAATGAGAGTACTGGGATTTGTTTAATGGCCCCGGTCTTTCAAGGCTTCTACCATACAATCGGAGATATATTTCTTACTTTCTATATATCTCATTACGTTACCTAGCCACTATCACTAATGAGAATGTTGAGAATGTTGAGACATATAAGAAGAAAGGGATATTATCGCCGGGGCAGTCAAGAATCTCCCATCTTATCATTTTGTCGAAAAGTTTACTTACTGGTTGGTAATTGTTTTTGGTTGATTGGTAATTATTTCATTAATTTACTTACTGATAAAAACTTTTGGCATCCCCATTTGATGATCTCCAGCCCTTGCATCCACCGGACTTATATGGGCAAGATACAGCGCAGTAATTACACCAGTAATTGACTCTAAACCTCAAGTTATTAATTAATTACATCAACAGTTTACTGTATAAGTTTGAGATAGATTTTCACATCCTCATAGTTTGTCCATTTTGAGATTGCAGAAGAATTGGAATCTTTTGAGTGTTAGTTTCGCGATGTCTGTAACCGCTATGTATCAACTTTCGCGTAAAATTCAGTATGTTGTCATGTGCTCTCGTATTGAAAATTGTTCTTATAGCGCAATTAACTGCTCTCGTATTTGTGTCTTGTTTTGAATGGCAAGTAATTACAATGAATTGACTGTCACCAATTTTCATATTTTCCAGGCATGACTTATCCACCAAAAACCAAGAAGTTGCTGCAGAAGAATGAATAAAATCTCAATTATAGTAAACTTGGCGTGCTAGTTTCGAGTTGAACGCACTCTGATTCGAGTCATGTAACACTTATAGTAAAACATATTCGTTCTCATGGATTAATGTTCATTAATGTTGGATTATGTTTGAACCTCATGGTTCAATTAAGACCAATGAAAAATATTTTGTAGCATAATTTTGTTTATACAAAGCGACATCTTTATTCGGCACATTTACATAGAGCGCATGCAAGCCATTGAGAGAAGCCTAATTCCGTAGTAAAGAGTATTTATCCGCACACTCGTAGCAGGCACTAACAAGGGCTATGTGCCTAGAGAAAGTACACGATTATTTATTCGCATATTATTCGTGTACTTTAAATAGGAAAGTTATTAGCATTCTTAAAAATAAAAAAAAACAGTTTAATCATTAAAGTTCCGTTGGTTAGACAAGGAGCGAGTTGATATGGATGGTTTAGCATTAAGGGCCACGTCCCAAGAAAATGCTCGAAAAATTGATAAAAAAAGAAAAAAGAAAAATCTAGAAAGAAAATCAAATCTAGGAAATGTGGGAATTGAATCCCCTCCTAAGCAAATGTTGGGGATCCTCATAACTACACAACACGAGCCGTTTATTTTGATCATACAGTTACAATTATTATAATTTGTAAAGGGACCTCTTGTTTGTTGTGTGGTCATGAGGATCCCTAAATTCAACGGTTACAATTATTATAATTTTTAGAGATACCTCTTATTTGTTGTGTGGTCATAAAAATCCCAAAATCCAACGGCTATAATTATTATAATTTTTAAAGAAATCTCTTATTTGTTGTGTGGTCATAAAGATCCCCACCATTTGCTCGAGGGGATCCAATTCCGGAATGTGTTCAGTCAACACAGTTGCAGTTTCTCTTCCCACTAATCCCTATGGCGATACGCTAGCACATACGTGACACGCGGTCAACGACGCACATCCGTTAATTCTAGCGGCAATCCCAACCATAACCACTAAAGTACGCCGCCTCTTATCCTACGCTCCCATGCCTATGTAACCAATTGATCGTCCAAATTATTTTACTTGCATTTTTGCTCACCACCATCATAAACTATGGTGTATGCTTACCATACACCTAATCAATTGACACATGTCATTTCACTTAACTCTAGTTAACTTTCACATTAAATGTTAGTTTTTCAATTTTGAAAAAAATTAACCAAGATTAAGTGAAATGATACGTGTCAATTAATTAGGTGAATGGTGAGCTCTATGTGGTGAGCAAAAATGCTCCCTTTTTTTTTTACGCCAAAAGCATTTTTGCCTGATATTTAGGACAAAGCCAATTCTCAGAAAATCCGCTTCTCAGAAAAACCAGAGAGAGCTCGATCATAATCTGAGTAAGTCATCTTCTTAAATTACGAATTATGTTTCCATAATCTCTATGATTAATGCTTAATTAGTTCCGAAAATCTCTGTTCAATTCAATTTACTTCATTTATTTCTGTGAAAACTGTGTGCTCATTTCTCAAATTTCTTAGCTTTGAGCTGACTTTCGTTGAGATTTGAGATGAATTTTATGTGGGTTTTGTTGGGTTTTTTTTCTTTGTCAGTGGATAAAGTTCAAAACTTTATGTGGGTTTTGTTTGTGATTTAATATTTTGATGGTGGTACTGAAAAAATGATTCTTCTTCTTTTGAGATATTGAAAAGACTGGTAATTTTGGTTTATTGGTAGTTCTGGATAAATTGTTATGTATTAAAAGTTGAAATATTTGGGTTTGTAGGATAACATGGAAGATCCACAAGTGGAGCACAATCTTTGGGTCTTATGGAGAGGAAAAAGGTTTGATGTGAAGATCCATTTGGGTGCCACTCTTAAGGATCTCGGGCACGAACTGCAAAAGTTAACGGATGTTAAAGCAGATACGATGAGGCTAATTGTTCCAAAGTTTTCCGATAAAAGCTCGAAAATGTTGTCTCCTTTCTCTGATGAGCATCAGAACTTGAGTTTACAGGAAGCTTCATTTGTTGAGGTATCTTCTGAATACTTAAAACAGTTACCTAGATATTGCTATTTGCTACTACTTTTGGAGTTTGGTGGTTCTACTTGTTTTTAAGACGCGATAACTGCCCTATTATTTTTTGTGAGTGACTTAGACGACAAGAAAACTTTAGAGCCCTTCTAATTTATATTCAAGTTTCATAAATGAATATGTGCAATGAATGTAGTGAAGGGGATAAAATGGATGTAACTTTGATGGATTAAATTTCTATAACTGAACTTTTGGAGTTCTTGCATGCCAACTGATTGATTTGTTCTTTTTCAGGGAAAGTCCATCAGAATGATGGGAGTGTCTGAAAACGAGGTTGATGAAGTTTTACAAAATGCAAAGGCAAACTTGGAGGTTGGAAGTTCACACAAACTTCAGAAGAACCCTGATATGGAGCCTGATCCTGATGCCCAGTCTGACAATCAGAACAAGTTTGAGCCCAGTCCTCATGATTCTCAGGGCACTGATGAATCATCATCTCAATTTACGGGAAGCTGGACCTTATTTGGAAAAGAATTCAGTGAGTCTATGATCTGTCAACCTGAGTTAGCAGGGACCGAGTCTCGTGAAGAACCAGATCCTGATAATATGGATAATATGGAAAGCAGGGGGCAAGCAAGGAATAACGTGGACGAACCTGATCCTGATGCCGAGGATGCAAAAGCAGATAATTTAGGATATAGTTCCTATAGAAATATCATAAGACCTAACGACGACAGTTCTTTGGTTACTGAAACCATCAAACATGAAGACGATCCAAGGAAGGCTTATAATGAACCTGATCCTGATGATTCCCAGTCAAATGGAGTCACTCAGGCAGAGCCTGATCCTGATGCTAATTTGGTGCATCCACAGGAAACATCCAGAATGCAGATTGATGAACCTGATCCAGATGATCAAGAATTTCAAAGAATTCAAGACCCTGTTACAATCTTTTGTAAACGCTTGCAGGAGAACATTAAGATGCTGGAAGCTGAGGTTAATCGTGCACAGCCTACCACTGTCCTCCAAACTCTCTTAAAGATAATAAGGTATAGTAATCTAGTTTGATTAACTTGTAGCCTTTCTCCGTACACGTAAAAAGTTTCGGGCAGCATATACCAGCTGGTTTAATCTTTTTAGAAACGCCATGTGATAGGGTCGCGGTTATATTGAACTTGTTGCTCTGAAGCAATGTAGAACTCAGGTAGCACATGAAGTTGATAGAAGATAGAAGATGCATTGTTGGGTCATCTGTAAACCTTTGTGCGTTGAGATGTTGATTGTGGCTTATTCATACACTTTTTTTTTGTAGGAATGTGCTTGAACACCCAGGTGAGACGAAATACAGGAAACTTTGCAAGGTACGGACATTGTTACCAGTAATAATCTTTCATTAAATTTAGCTTGAACAGGTGGAGTTTCCTCTTAAACGTTTCTCCTAATAGTGATGGATATACATTGCAGGCGAACTCCACAATCCTAGGGAATGTGGCAAACTACAAAGGTATGCAACTTCCTGTACATTTAGATTCTGTATTTATTGATCTGGCTTGGTGAAATTTTCCCATCTTTAAATGGGAACCCTGAAGGGTTGGATAATAATCACAGGACGGTCTAATGATCGAGCTGCTGTAGCTTTGTGATAAACTTTTTTGTTTTGCCCTTTTTCAATTTTGCAATAACAGCTGCCATGGAATTCCTTCTTCTGATTGGCTTCAACGAAAGCGTCATGGATGGAAAACAAGAGACTTATCTTGTGCTGAAGCGGGATGATCCGGGATTATTATGGCTTGCCAAGTCCGCCCTTGAGGCAAGCGTTTCCTGAAGACACATTTCCAAGCAAAAAGTCTGCTCTCTCTCTGTGATCTCTATGGTGTTGTGTTCCATGTAAATATGTAATGCATGCTTGGCTGTAGAACAATTGTTGTGTATATGACTACTGGGCATAAAATCATGTCAGGTGAACATTGAAATAAAAATAAAAATGGCTGTTTTAGATTTCGACGCTGCTCACTGCCCGTCGCACACCGCTCACCAACTAGTTTTCGGTGGAGTGGTACTTATCTTGCTAGATATACACGAAGAGGTCTCAAGTTCGAACTGCATTTGCGTTTGCAATAACACACCCAAAAATAGAAGTGCATATAGTGAAAGATAACTTTTGTATTGGATCATACGTTAATGAAGAAATACAACTCCACTTACAGAAATGAAACCAGAGAAAGAAAATGACAACTTCCTTTATCACCCTGTCAAATCTTATAAGCTTAAAAAGTATGAGCAGTCACTCCCACTTTACATCCAGATATAAATAAAACTCATCCGAGTCGGGATACTTTGCTCCAACAGTTTGATCCGTAAAAGGGGTTTAAGAAACAGGAAAACTCAAGAACCATCCATTGGAATATCACAGGGGTTTGAATTCTGCGGGTTTGCACTGCAAGCGCTTGCTGAGATGTTATTTTGAGGCTGGCTGGCCCTGAATGTAAAGTCTTGAGGAGGAATGGCTAAGGGAGGCCGGGCAAAAACGGAGGTAGCACCAACATTGTTAAATGTAGGGACGGGAACTGGATTATTGGATCTTGGGAAGCCAAAGCTAAACAAAGGTGCAGCTGCCGGTGGGAAGGCTGGTGGGGTTGGGTTGCTCTTATCAGTTGATCCAAAGATCTTTTCCTCATACTCCTGCAGTTGCCGGTAATAAGCTGCATCCACAAACACAAATGAAAGTCAGAGATGTATAATTGTCCAGAACAAGTGGGCACTACTTTCATGCACGAACATTGCTAGGTAATATTCAGAAGGTTTGACAAACATGGCAGTCCACCATTTGCATTCTGCTCCTTCTAAGAAATGCCGAAACAGACCTTCATTGCATACCTTCAGTTAATTCAACAGCTGGTCTCCGTTCTTTCACCCACTGGTAACTCAGTGCTAGTCTCCATCCTCTAGACTTCATCAAATAAGCAATTACAATAGCCGGAGACCTGTAAAAATGAACATAGTTATTATCTAAAAAACAAACAAAAAAATTTGATGATTAATATTTCATAAAAACCAATAGGCTGGTGGTTTAGCAATATATTAATTGCTTGTGCTATGTGATGCAATCTTTACGGAACACTCTAGACACTAACTACAACAACAACAAAGCCTTTTCCCACTAAGGAGGGTTCGCTATATGAATCCTAGAATGCCATTGCGCTCGGTTCTGTGTCATGTCCTCCGCTAGACACTAACTAAAACGAAAAAAACATCATTTTCAGTAATTCACCTTTTTTGCCCTGACATGCAGTGTACTAAAACGCGAGCTTTGTCCCTTTCACATTGCTCTGCAAGATTAAGCACAGTTTCACTTCGATAAGCAAACAATGCAAATTTGAAATGCTAATTATACTAAGAATATCCAAGCTAGCATCAGCAATTCTGAAATTCAATAGCGAAGCCATTCACTAATAAGTATTAAAATTTTCAGGTCGGTTACAGTAATTAAATGCTATAAATCACTTCAGTGATGTTCTGCAACCAAAACGCACAATAGCTCAGTAACTGCAGAGCATGGACCAGTTATTTTTTATATTAACAACCTAGTAGAATGTGGTTCGCGTAGCTCATCTAAAATTGATCAATTTAAGATTAAAAGAAATATTCTTCCAACAAAGTATCAGAAAGGTGCTAGACTGCCAGTATGAATAAGGCCTGTCTCGTTATTGCCCTTTGTCCATATCTTGATTCTAATTGTCAATTGGGGAAGCTGACATGTAAACCTATGAGGTTGCAAATCTGAACCAGTGGACAGTACCAGAATGTGACAGGTGAATTCAGATATTTGGTCAAATAAAGCAAGAACTTAAACATGGCGGCAGTTAGGTAAGTGTGAATCAAGAAAGCATTCTGTGTCGTGTTATCATAATGATCAAAACAGGGCCAAGGAAAAGGTCTGGGAAACATATCAAATTTAACCATCAACCATCCAATCACCAAAAATAAAAAACTATTAATAATCCTATTCATCAAAATCCAATCCGTTATCATATAAAGATCCCACATTAAAGAACCCACCAACACAAATATCTTAATGTTCCCGTAACCAAGTTTCAGTGGCTCCGTACGTTCTTTGACTTAAATACTATGCCAGGAGGGAAGTCCATAGAAAAATTATGAACCAATTGAAGTAGCAAATGTACTCAGCTAAACTTAAGGCGACAGTGAACAATATGTTAAATGTGTGCATGTAAGCAAATGATGCAAACAGTAGGTCACAACAGCTATATATGAAGACTGAGTTTAAAAGGCAAATCAGTATTAGTGAAAATTATGAGCCAAATATCCCAGAATCAAAACCATATAATGAGCTGAAATCTAGAATACAATAAACAACATATGTGAATTCATTATGGTCAAAAAGAGAAAGTACACACCTAAAAATTGATTTGCATCCTCAAATTGCAAAATCTTGTCATCTTGGAGGTAGTGATAAGTGAAAGAGTTCTTGTAGAGATTTTGACAAGCAGGAACCGTCTGCATATAGAGGGAGAAAAACATCACACCAGAATGTCAAGACTTCGAATGTTGGAGACTGAATTACTATTTCAACCAAAACAATACGACAAGTAATCTACGAATATTAGCTCAGTAGTAAAGATCATCAAAACCAACCCAATGATCATAAATCGTCAAGGTCAAATAGTGAAACCTAAGTCATTATCCAAGTCCATATCTATTCATAACCCTAGACACAGCCTTAATCCACCTTTCTTACTTCTCATATGAAATTATATCTTCTATTGCAGAGGAGTTAACCACCTATGTGACCACTACAGAGCTTATCCTTGAATGCTACTATTCGCTTCTTCATGTTCGCTATCTATCTCAACAGCCAACTACTTCAATCTAAGAGACAAGCTAACTTTTGATCTCAACCATTCCGTTTAACAATGGATGCTCTTGCAGCTATCTCATTGACTTCCCTATTATTTACATAAACAATGCAACAAAAGCACTTCCTCATACCGCAGATAAAATTTCAGCTTTGGCATCTCTTATCCATCATAAATACAGTTCTCCAAAAGCACAACTAATTTGCACAAATCAACATACGAAAACAAATTCGGCTACAGAAATCGAACCTATAAACCAAACTGATCCATTCCAAATAGCAAAACCGAACCAGAAACGCAGTATCGTATTCACAATTCTATAACCAAAGCATACAAATCAAAAGTACAAAATCTTACATTTAGGACACGAGATATTCCCTGAGTCTTGAGAAGTTCAGAGCGAGAAGCGTTATCGTAGCTGCCCAAATAGAGGAACTCCGGCAAGATCTCAGACGGAAAAGCACTAACTTGGATCGAAGTTCTCTCAGAAACCGCCGGCATTCTATGGCCGCAGACCCCACAGACCTCCCCTTCTTCGTATTTGTGATAGTGCCCACAAACCCCACATGGATTCTCCCTCTCCCTCTTCCTCATACCCTAATTCCAGCGAGATTACGCACCGACCCAGGTGAGAGAACGAATTCCAAATCACAAAACAAGCAGAACCCAGATCAAAAACCAGAGAAATCGAAGTGGGTTCCTCAAAGATTGTGTCTTTGATAAAGACTAAGGTGGGAAAAGAAGAGAGGGAGATTTATAGAGAGAGAGAGAGAGGGGCAGAGAGAGAATTAGAAGGCGTTACAAGGAAGCGTCGTTTTTATCAGATTTATGAAGATTTATGAGCTCTCGGATTCGCGCTTTGGCTTTTGGGCGTCACTCACTGACAAAGCTTTCCTTACTGGCGGTGGGAGACAATACAGTAGAAGAGAGAGAGAGAGAGAGAGAGAGAGATAGATAGGGTGGGGAGGAGAGAGAGGGGGGAAATCACTTCAGTACGTGTTTATCCATATTGTGTATATACTATTTCATTCCCTATTTATAATGGAGAGAGAAATATGAGAGAGATTTTGGTGTTGGTGTGATTTTTTGATTGATGCCTTGCTTGTTCCTTGTTCTTGCTGAAGGCTGTGCAGAAAAGCCAGACTTCCTTTTCTTTTGATAATTCAATCCACAGGGGGTTATTTTCTGCAAAGCCCCACGGCCCCACCCATATTAGTACCCAATCATACTGTTCCTTTGGACCACATATTATGTGGAGCCCATTTACAGTTTTCTCCAATTATGTGACGACATGTGGATTAGTATTCATGACTCATGGCAGCTTCTAGTTTTTTCATTGTCTTTGTTTTTGGACATGAACAACTCACATGGATAATGGAGAAAGTTACTGACAATTTCTTTAAGAAAAAATATGACTTTTACAAACCTCTTTTGGTTTTCACACATCTTTGTTTAAACATGATGTCGAATTCCGTTTGATTTATCCGATTCAATTATTAAAAATATAGAGGATTGTGTAAAAAGCTAAAAGTTTTTGTCAAAGAAGTTTACCTATTATAAACTGTCATGACAACGGTATTTCAACTCAATTATGTAATTAATCAATTTCCCCTTGTACTTGTAAGGATTGGCTAATTCCCCCTCCCCTCAACTTTAATTTTGGTCAATTTACCCTCCTTAACTCTCATAATTAGTCAATTTGCACCATACTGTTAATTTTTTTAATTTTCCATCTATTCTTTCGTTAATTAAGTATCCACATGACTACCTTTGAAAGGCAAAAAAAAGTCAATTTGCACCCTACTGTCATTTTCCATTAAGTAGTTTCCCTACACCTTACTAGAGGTAGACGAGACCGAGAAAGGAGGCGATGGGGTGTGGGCAGCTGCAAACTGCAAAAGTAGCATATCAAATTGACTGGGCTGCAAACAGCGGAGGAGGGAGGCGTTGGCGGCAATCACGGGCTCAGCTTGGAGAAAAGGAAGAAGAACATAAATTTTGAAGAAAAGGAAGAAGATAGAAGGTGTAGGGGAAATGACTTTTTTGCCCTTTAAAGGCAGTCATGCAGATACCAACTTAACTTAAAAATAGATGGAAAATTAAAAAAAATTAATAGTAGGGTGCAAATTGACTAATTATGAGAGTTGGGGGGGGGGATTGGCCAAAATTAAAGTTGAGGGAGTAAATTGACTAATTATGAGAGTTGATGGGGCGAAATTGGCCAATCCTTACAAGTTCAGGGGGTAAATTGATGAATACCTCATTAGAAAAATTATAGCATTCAACGTCAATAATACAAACACATGCCACATCTATATATTTATCTACAATACTATATGATATATTATTGTATCATTAACACGAAGCATTATTAGAAAAACGTAACTAGCTTTACTGATTTTGGTGCACCCAGTGGCTAGGCCCAAAGTCAAGCCTAGTAAGATATCTCAACGAAACAATTGTTTAAAAAAGTTGAACCCAAAAAAAGCCACGGCCATTGCTGGCGCTCTGAAAACAATGGCTTTTCCCGCTTGGCACAAACTCTTCACTCGTCACTTGTCCTTTTATTTCTTCGACCCCCTCCACCTCATCGTTCTCGCAGAGTCGTTGTCACATGTACTTTCTATCTCCTCCCTTTTCTGTCTCTCATTCTCTCTGTAATCTTAGCTTGGTACGCTCTGGTATGCAAGGTTGGGCATGGTGACGCCATTGGGTTGCGGGGTGGAGACGATGTGGAAGAGATTCATAGAAGGCGATTGCGTAAGGGCACCGACCCCTGAAGATATCACGATGAACAACTTTGATTCAAACACCCAATCGTACACCTTCGACAAGCTCACCTTCAAGGTTGTTGCAATCGTGCCCTGTGGAAGTAAACCAAGTGAATTCAACGAGGAATTCTATGTGATTTCGATGCAATGTTCAAACTAGCAAATGCCTTCTCCATGCTACTCTCACCATGCCTATCAAGTCTTTGTTCATAACCCTTTAAAATGGCAACCACATCCTGAGCATCTATGGTTTCCAAATCCTTAGTATTTTCTATCACTGCTGCAATACTATCATACGATTTAGGCAAGCTAATTAACAGTATCTGGACAATTCTTTTATTACTCAGATTTTCACCATAGCTTCTTATTTGATTAATCAGATCAAATAGTTTAGCAATACACAGAGAAGGATTCATTATCATTCATGTGAGTATATTCAAAATCTCGTCTAAGACCTTGAAGTTTCACATATCTTACTTGCTTATCAGTTATCACCAACAAATTCTTGTTTCAGAATATCCCACGCAGCCTTTGCACTTTCCTGGGTTGCGATCCTCAGGAAAATTTGATCTGAAACAACACCTTAGATGATTCCCAGTGCTCTAGCATCCTTGACCACATTCTTTTGTATCCGCTTCTTATCCACCTCCGTAAGCTCATCCTCCTTCTTCGTTGGAATATCATAGCCCTTCTTAACCAGATCCCACAACTCATGTGAATGGAAAATGGTCTTCATTTTGATTTTCCAGAAATCAAAATTCTCACCATTAAAGACTGGTGCTCTGAGTTCTCCTCCTCCAGATCTAGCCATGTTAGACTCGATCGCAGATACAAGCTCGAATCATCGCAATGAGCTTTTGCTGTGAATCCGAGCTCAATCCTACACACAGAGACGACGCCCATAGAATTTAGACCTAACCTGGCTCTGAGGCAATGTTAGTGAATTCGAATTAAACAAGAATTATAACAGTGTTTATGGAAGAGAAACCCAGAAAACTTGAGCAAGAAGAAGAAATGTGATTAGAAAGCTCAGAGGATATCCCTCTGCTATTCTCCCATATATTTCGGACACACATTCTAAGCATGTGAGCTCATACACCAACAATATAACCGTTGGAGGTGAGAAAAAGATAGACACATCTCTAAATTCAATCTCAGCCATCCATTTCATACTACACTGAGATTAAGACACTTGTCCATTATCAAGCCCTATGAGACTTAATCAACACATTACATTTTTAACACACAAGCTCAGCCTATGAGCTAAAGCACAACACTAATCAGTTCATCAATCTACGCACTAACAGTTATCCCTGCGGACTTTTAGTGCTGCAAAATATCTAACTAGTTTAAATTTGGAGCATGTGGGAATACAAGGCTTCTCTGGTCTTGTACAACATTTGTCATTAACGTCATGTGTTATGCGGAGCAGGGTCTTTCTTTTTCCAGAATCCAGCCTCAAATACTTGGAAATTATATAATGCGCTGGTGCCAGGTTGATTGTAGTTCGTGCTATGTATCTCGAATCTTTTAAATTTGTTTCAGGTTCAGATCAAAGCTGGAGAATGAGATTGGAAGAGCTCGCGATCATGGGAGCTAAGAACCTGAGAAATTTTGTTTTATGTGGAAGCAAATTCTATGTGAGGGATGCCTTTATTAATCCAAAAGTAACGTTTTTCCTTTTTAATGGTTTTGTGAAGTCGATCTCTTCAATTAAATTGGCTCCTACAGGCTCATCAGAACACTTATCTGCGCTGAGAGATTATCTCGAAAGTTTTGATTGCTCCGAAGACATGTCCCTCTATATTCAAGATGCCAAGGTATATATATCGGTCACTTTACAGTTTGTGTATTTATTCATCTAATATTCCACGTTCTGCAGTTGATTCCTTACTAAAAATTTCCTTTTTAATTCTCTGTGTTGTGTGAACGGTGTAGTCCTTCATCTTTCCAGAGAGTTTCAGAAAGACCTGCTCTCCACCATTGCGTAATCTCAAACATAACGTCACGGCCAAGATGCCTCCGGCAACTGAGGCAGAAGATTCCGAGTTGAGGGGCTCCTTGCTTTGGATAGCACCTTCTGCATATATACCACAAATCGAACACTGGACATAATGAAATGGAGGACCGATGATTTTTAGTTGTTTTCACTTTCGAAGTTTAGGGTTTAATACAATCTTCTTCATTTATTCGAAGTTTAGACTTTCAGTTAATCTCTAGCACAAAAGAAATTAAAATTTTTGACTTCTTCATGTGAATGGTTTCGTTGAAGACAGTTCGTATTCACTTCAGTATGAACTAATTTCATGCAGTAATTAATGGATGAGTATACGTAAACTGTTTTCCCGCAATGAATGAAATTAAATCGGTTGAAGACCATTAACCATGTAGCAACTAGCAAGCAGTTTTCTCTAACAAAACCATGTACACCGGAATTGTTACAAACGTAGAACAAGTTATACGTTACAATTTCTCACATTCAACGAGCGGAAGGGTTCTTCTTCTTCCCTCTCATCCTTACATACGAACATTGAACTGCGCTATTCAAAAAGGAACGCTGAGGCTTTAAATCCTCGTAAGGAAAGTCCAGGTCACGAATGATGTATGCATTTAGACAAAGTTGTGCAGAAGCCATTTAAGACTGATTGCGATGCCGCATATATTACGTCCCTGCAGACCATGATTCTTGAACTCGAGCGTTTTGAAGGGTGAAGCCGTGAATGATTGGTAAAGGGAATTCCTTGAGAAAACCGAGACACTTTTGGGAGATGACAACGGATGCGAAGGCTTGGTCGGCAGCTTGGACTTGCAGGTGGGTCGGCGGTGAAGGGAAGAAGGAAGCTATGAGGAGGAAGAGAACAGTTGGTGGCGCCATTGAAGTGTCTGGAGAAGAGAAGACAAAGAGGACTGATTCCTTATTTTTTTTTTTTTGTCTTGGTTTTGGCTTCGGCGCAAGGACAAACATCGAAAAGAGCGCAAAGATTTAACAAACTAGACAAAACTCTTGGTATGTGAAATGTCCAAAACACCCCCAGAGTTTTTGGCGTTGTTTGGTGGGTGAGCTTTTTGGTAGAATAAAACTTTAGGGAGAGTTCCACAACCTGCAGTAGGGCATACCCACCATATGATTTATGTGTAGCATTTAATTATTAGTTGTCTTTGGTAGTGGCGGATCCATGATTTTAAACTCGGGGGATCCCAATAATAAAGGTCAAAAAATTTATAGACAAAAAACAACATTGAAAATTTAAATATAATACATTTCATTCAAAAATCATATGCAAAACAATATTACAAATTATAAAATCACAATTCAAGCGTCCATTACGAGGTTTCATAAGTTACTAGGAAGTACCTAAGTTATTGATTATC